TCCCCAGGGAAAGCACCGACTGCTTCCTCAGCTTCAGGTTTTCCTCGGCATTTTTATTCCCCACGGTCCCCGTACGTGCTGCCAGCATTTTGCGTCCTGCCTCACTGCAAAGACAGCACCCTTGGCACTAAGTCGCTGCCTTCAAATCATTTAAACTGGTTTTCAGCACTCACCTTCCTCCCTCTATAACCTCATGCTGGCCACAAAGCTGTAATTAGATATGTGTTTGCAGAGCTTAACCAGAAAGAAGAGCTGCAACCTTCTCATGGAAACATCTGTAGCAGCTTCCCGCTTGCCAGTGGGATTCGTTTTGCAAAGAGTAAGGAGGACAGTTCTTAAAAAACAACATGCAGACACGTGCAAAGCAGCACACATAAACTGGATTTGTATGAAAGAAGGTATTTAGATGGATAATGGTGGAAAAAAATGTCCAGCTCACTAAAGCTGTAAACATCAGAGGGCTCCAGCCAGCATAGGTGAAGTCACACGTGTCACCTTGATGGCAAACCCACAGCCACGTGGATTCACCCAAACAAATTGCAGCACGGTTCCTGCTGGACGTGGTCTTGGAGCATCACTGTCTTCACTGAGCCAAATGCATTAGAGCAGAGCTGGCCACTCCATCCCTCCTCCTCCTCCTCACACACACAGTGCTCTAGCTCCTCAGGTCACCCCATCAGGCAGGAACTTCAGTTATCCAGGGGATTTGTAGAAATTTGGGGATTTGACCACCATTAAGATGAGAACAAAGTTATGACTTTTCCCAATTCATTTGTTTGTGGAGCAGATGGTGTTTTGGGAAAATGTACAAAAAGAGCGGATGCAAGAATTGAATTAATTTCCCTCTCTGATTTGAAATGTAAAAGCTGATACAGAGATTACAGCACTAATCACAGCAGCCACTTTAGCAGCACAAGCATATCCTTGTTTGGAGAGAGAGGCAAGCAAAGAGGAAAAACATCCTCTAAAGACAAGCAGGGTTATAAAGCCATGGCATTCAAAAGAAGAGTGATCACCTACCCGTTTCCCACATGGAGGTTGCATGTGTCTCACAGGGAAAGGTGAGTCACAGAGGGACTGGTGGCTGGGGGAAGAGCTTCATGGAATCAGGGAAAAGGCAGCTCTGCAGGTTTCTGGCCCGGTCTCCCACTCACAGCAGGTTTGTCAGCAACTCTTGGGAAGTTTTCCCGCCCGAGCCCCACAGCTCCCCAGCCTTTGGAAACCAGGGTCTGCCTGAGTCAGGCATGGTCCTGAGTAAGGTCTGCTGGCCATGCTCCCTGAGGAGCTCAGCATGGGGATTGTACTGCTCACTGCAACAGCGTTCTGCCAGCTCACCATGTTTCAAGGTGTGCTGAAGTAAAGAAAAAAAAAATCCCTTTTTAGGTGCTTTTTAAGAAAGCGGTTAAGAAATCCTATAAAATGTACCTTCCACAGAAACTGGTGTTATTTGACCTATTTAGCAGAGGTAGCACTAAAACGTTCACTGGAAGTTTTGCAAAACTCTAGAAAAATGACTCAAACTTTGAGATGTTAAAATGTTCTGGTTCTGTGCTGGTTCTAACGTGTTTCCTCATTTGTCATTAAACTTTATAGCACTTCCCAAAAAGGAAAAGGTTTCCACCAACTCCAGAAGCTCAACCCTGAACAGCTGAAGTAACACATACATATTTTACAGATCCGTAAGTTCAAGCCTTATAAGATTCTTCAAGTTCTTCCACTTGGAAGTTGGCTAATAAAAGCAAATTAAAGTTCTTAAACAGTTGTATAAAAGGTATATTGTGCTTACTCAGCCTTCCATGTTTATCATTTTCTTAACCACAGAAACACTCTGCTGTCCCCAAAGACCTTAGAAGGTATCGGTCACCTTAAAAGTAAACTAAATTAAAAGCAGATGCTGACAATTTGTTCCTCTCTAAATGGAGCATTGTTGGTTGT